AGCTGGTGGATGGCAGTCCTGCCCATGGCAGGGGGTTGGAACTTGGATGATCTTTAAGGTCTCTTCCAATCCAAGCCATTCTATGATTCCATGATTCCCCAGAAAGATATTTTAGCCTAATTGAGATCACAGCCAAAATAGAGATCAAGTCATGTGGCAAGTAAAATCTCCTTAATTCTGGCTCTTGTTTAGAAAATAAGACAAAGTCTTGTCTTCAGGGACTGTAAATCTATGTCCTCTTATTACAGGTGTCATGGATGACCAGACAGTTGCTCCATTTATTTATGCTGAGATCTGACACCTATTATTATTGACCATAACGGACCCTACTGTTATTACAAAACAGAAAAACTAGCCAAAACAATGTTGATGTTAGAGGGAAGTCATAGCTGCCATTTAGAGAAAAACCACCTCCTGTTGCTTTCAGTCCCAACAAGTAGGTATACTGCAGCAATCTGGTTCTCATCCCAATCCCATCAGTGTGAGATCAGAGCAAAGTTAAGTAATTCTGGCCTGAGGGACTAAGCTGGGTTCTCCAGAGGCCACTTGGTAAATAAGGAGTCTCTTTTGCAAACTTCTTCCTTGAGGGGACAGAGTTTCAGCCTAATTCAGCTTCTATAATGCCAAGACCAGTCAACTTCTGCACCTAAATGCTGAGATGAAGAAATTTTGTTGTACAGTAGCCAGTGAGGCAAGGCAGTATCACACTTTGTAGAGTAGAAATCTGAAACATAGTAGCCAAAATGATGTCCCCACAGTGCTAGAGAGAGCAAGTAGTGAATCAAGAGAAGGAATCTGTGACCCTAATCTCTGAGGTTCCTCTAAGGGATGACACGTCAGCATTCGGAATTGTATCAACTTTCTTACTGTTGACAGAAGTGAGATATAAAGATGGAGAAGTGAGCTGTAAAAGGCCAAGCAGTTTAACTTATCAGACTTATTTCTATAAATGACCATCTGTAGATTTACACCAATGCAGTGCTTCCAGCTAACTTAGAAATTGTCCCACACATACTGAAGTTCACACCAGATTGCAATTACCTTGAATACTGTAGCTGGAATATTGGCATTCAGACCTACACTGACTGATAGCCTTTGTTCAGACCTGTCAATGTAGATGATCCATTTTTTTCTCTTGTGATTCATATGGCTAATAATAAACACCCCAGTGAGAAATAAACAGAGAAAAAGAGCACTCCGTGACCAAAGAGCTAAGCTGTGTATCAATGCTTGTGCTGTCTTTCCTAAAGGTATCTTGTAAGAGATCCCTTTTCTGTTGACTGTAGACAAGAATCTGCAAACCTGATTTTCTGCACTCAGTAGTGTGTAAATGACAAATCTTCTGATCTCAGCCATACCTTGTGCAGCTTCTCCATTTCAGTAGCATAATTAGGAAAAATCAACTGTATCACCTATGCTATGTTTGCAATGAAAGCCTCCAGCTGCAGTCAAAAGGACGTGTGTACACATGTGATTAATAGCTATGTATTTGCAGTATTATGATGTGTCTCCAGAAAACATGTTTAATCAAACACAGATGTGAGGTTTTTAATGGTAACTGAATGGAAGCATTGTTCAGTTGGGGGATGTCTATCATGGATTTCTAGGATGGTTCCACTTCAGAGGAAGTATTTCCAGGTATCTGGAATGATACAATCTTAGCCAAGAATTTAATGTTTCTTAGATGTTGATATGTTACTATTTTCAGTAAGTGTGTTCCTTTTTCCCCCAACTTCTGCCAAGCAGCTTACATCTCTTCATTTCTTTTGGAGAAGTTTTTCTAGAGAAAATAGTAAACTTACGGTGTAAAATAGTAAACTTAAAGATTATTATTAACTTACCAAATGCCTAATAACATATCAGTGTATCAATTCCTACCACCCGTGTCTCAGTCTCACATTATATGGAATGATCTCACCTTCTGCTGTAAAAAATTAGATGTAAGAGCATCCAACTTATGGAGTCCAGCAAGAGAGAGACAGAAAATACACACCTGTCTGCCAAATACTGGTGGTTTCTCTAAGATACCACTGTCTCTGTCTCTTAGCTTATCTGTCATGGCTGGTCAGTAAAAAGGAGGTGAAAAACAGACTCCATAAATGTTCAGTTCGAGAAGTCCAAAATGCTCTACTATACCAGGACACAGATTTGCTTTTCAAGACTAATTTGTACCAATGCTAGCTGATATAAACATTATGCAACTGTGCAGGCAGTGGGAATAGCCAGAGTACGCTATACTGTGGTTATATTCCTTACTGGTTGCAAAGGAAGCTTCTTGCCATCTGGAAATTTCTTCGTGCTGGAGTAGTACAAAGCGACAAGCCCCTCCATTATCTACCAGAAATTCTGGTACTTGGTATTTAGGATTCAGTCAAACCAGAGCTTTGAGAAGTTGTGTTTTTCCAGCTGACTTTTCCAGCTGAAGAAAAATATAGACAAGAAATAAATGCCACATAGCTGTGGCTCTTTTATCGCCATCCATCATAATTAAAGGGAAGTCAAATCATCATTGTGACTGTGTAAATTCTTATGGAAGATTCTGAAAGTCATTCATATCTGTTGTTTGTGTGGCATACTTGGTAGAAGGAAGAGGATGTTAAGTCTCATTTCTTGATCTAAGTCCAGATTAGGTACTTACATTTTGCCTGTATGATTTCTCTGCTGTGATTTTAAGTGAATGTTTGTACCATGGTGTTATGTTCTCTTAAGGCATCACTGTGTTTCAATTTTGGGTGAATATTTGTTTCTAAGTTGTACCATGGTATTTTGTTCTCTTTGAGGCATTGCTGTGTTTCACAACAGAGGTACCTACTTTTTGGTCAAGTGTGATGAAAAGTGGCTTGCAAGCATAAGGAATAGTCAGTGATACTTCCAAAATAACTGCGCAATTGTACAAAAGTATTCGAAGGGAAACTGGGTAATATGCTTAGACAGTGTTAGAAAGGCACTTAGACTTCTGAAGAGAGGTGCTCTGACCACAAATCTATTAATCCTCTGAAGAAGGAGATGATGATCTCTTTCCATAGAGACAGATTTTGAGGCTGTGTTTTAATGAGTTTCCTTCAGTTAAGTCGCAGCTGAGGGAGCCCTGAGACGGAGTTTAGATCGGCCCATTGACTGTGGACTGTTGCCAGACAAGGACTTTAGTGACTGTACTTTAAAAGGAAAATGAATGATGAATTCCACCCACAAAGAACTGATTATATTAGTGTTACTCTCCTGCCTTGTCTTATTGAAGGTCTGAAATCCTTTTCCTGAATTGTTATGAATCTTGAGTCAGATTGCCTCCCCTAATGTGTGTCTCAGTGCCCATGTATGGAAGAATATTTCTTCTGTGATCACAACAAATGCTTAGGTTGCAAAGGAGAGAGCATTTTCCTAGAAGGAGAGAACAAATCATGATAAAACTTTTAAACACATGGAGAACAAAAGAACCTATGTTTTTTTAAGCCATTTAGGTACTTTAAAGTTTGCAATTTAAGTTCAGAAATCATTTTAGTGCTACTAAATATGTTAAGTGCCATCTGTTTCTCTAATGATGCTATGTCTGACTCAGGAGATAAGCATTTATGAAAAGTAAAGAAGAAGGGACTCTGTTATTTTGGTACCATCATGAAAATGAGGTTCTATGAAGGTGTCTAGCAACTTTCCAAAATTCTGAACTGCAGAGGAGACTTCAAGACAAAATGATGTTTATACACTACATGCTTTTAGCATAAGTATCTTACATGCTAGAGTTGCTCTACACATAATACAGGCCCAGGTACTAAAATAACAGTCTTCCTACTTCATTTGCAGATGCTTGTAGTAGTATTAAAACTAGATTTATGTTCACATCATTTAATCTGCAGTCTCAAATTCTTTGAGTACTCAGTTGTGTAGTAGTCAGACTTTGAAAGAGATATTCATGAATCAAAGAAAGAAGGAAAGATTATGAGAAAGCAGTGGAAAAAATTTGACCAGATTAGAACACGTTGGGCCTTGGAAGGACTTTACTCAAAAGCATACAGCTACTACTCTGATTGTGGTAAACTGTAAAGATTACACAATCGTTGCCAGGGAAAGATCAGTATTTATCCACAGTTACCATGTGCTTCTCTCTAAAGTATGCATACCTGTGCTACAGATGGAAAAAAAATGTGATCTGATAACACACTCAGGCAGTGCTTAGCAAAAATAAGCAATATTGTCATGGGCAGAAAACATATGCACAGAAGTTGGAACATAAGCTCAGAGGTCGTCAGATGGGCCCATGTGGTGCTCTGGGTAAATTCCAGAAAGTGATAGTCTACAATTTCAATCATACTAGACATTAGCCTATATTAATCATTGCCTGTAAGGAAACAATCAGAAGAAAAAAGCAATCAAAGGAAAGGTTGCACCAGAAAGAACGTACAGAAACACTTGCTATGATCATGTGTAAATCAACCACAGGCTCTGTTTACAAACCTTCCCATCTGTTCCTTTGCTTATTCATTTCTGCTTTCCCTCTCTGTCTTCTAACTTTCCTTCATCTTTCCAGATGCAGGACGCTATGGGCTATGAGTTACCATGGGTGTATTTTGTCAGTCTGGTCATCTTTGGATCCTTTTTCGTTCTAAATCTGGTACTTGGTGTGTTGAGCGGGTAAGCTGACAGTTTTGGTGTCCTTTTTCCAATGCTACAGGGCAAGACTCCACAATAAGGGTTCTTCCCTGTCACCAGGATTCTTTTGGATGGATTAAAAATCTGAATCCAAGGAAGCTTTCACATCAGCCCTCAAAAATCTTGGCCAAATATTTAAACTTTGCAAATAACAATACAGGTAACAAAAGAGGTGTGTTTCTCTGACAGAAATTTAATATTGGGACTTCCAAAATCACTACTACTGCCCTTCCATAAATTTCCAGAAAATTGATTATTGAAAATCTCACTGCTGGTGACTTGGGATCTCTTTGGCTGGAGCCTTGCAGTGCTCAGAAACTGAGCTTGTCTCACTAATTATCATTCCACTCTTCCAGGTCAATGATGCCATAGGAAGGGACTGGCCCTGGATCTATTTTGTTACACTAATCATCATAGGGTCATTTTTTGTACTTAACTTGGTTCTCGGTGTACTTAGCGGGTAAGCAGTACCAGGAAAATGTTTTATTACTGTTTATTTTTTAAAATTTGTATTTTTATTCCTACCCTGTTGTTATCTAAACAACAGACAATGGCACGTTGATCTCTGGAACTTTAGTAGAAGACCTGGGCTATTGCTGTGCAAATGGCAAAACATGACCTTCCTAATCAGGAAACTGCATTTTAAAATAAACTAAAAAAAAAAAAAAAATACAAGACAACTCTGCCTGTAACATATTCCTCTACCTGAAACCTCCACCCACACTCTCTGGGAAGAGGACAACACTATGTTCCCCTGTTAAACACGTAACATATCGTTCACCATGGATTAAGGGGATTATAGTAAAATCTCTGGAAGAGTCACTGGGACTGAAGGAGGAATGAGAGTATGAGACAAATCCCTTCACAGTTGTGGGATGAGATTCCTGCCAAATTACGTCTTCTCACATGAGAAATTTTCACATTGCTTAATATCTCTAAAGCACAGCCTAATGGGAGACTTTTCCCTGGAGTGTGCCTTGCATGCGTTTCTTCTTTAATAAGCACATCCTCTCTGTTGTGTGGATTACAAGCCCAGCATTATTCAGGGAGAAAAGATAATTTCCCTCTGACCTTTTCTAAGGAGGAGGAGAAGAGAAGCAGGAGAATTTCTTCTGGTGTTTAAACATCCCTAAAACATCTAGCTGTATCTCAGTTCTGCAGTATAACCCTCACTGCAAAGCATTATTTTGGTAGATTTGATTAAAAACAATTGATATTTCTCCCAGTAGTTAAAAACTTTATTGCCCCTGGGGAGCTAGTTAATTAGAGGATTGAAGCCTGTGAGCATTCCTCTCCAGATTTTTTTTTAAGATCTCCCAGATTTAGGCATCAAATTCCATATTTGGGAAAGACTGGATGTCTACAGCCATTCCATGCAAATAGATAATTATGATATGAGGACTTTTATGCATCCTCTTCTTCAGTGTTTCTAGCATTGTGCCTCCTTCAATGAGCTCTAAATGAATTTGATCAGAGCCAGTACTTGTCTGAGCAGGCAGCCCTTAAGTCTCCTGTCCTTTGATCATAAAGAGGGGCAAAATCTTCTCTGAACAGGAGAGAGGTCTTGATGCTTCACGTAAGTTACATTCTCAGTGTGACAGAAGCATAGGAAGAGTAGCAGTAGGACTAGAGAAGAAGATTCTCTTTTGATCATCCTGGAAAGAGACAGGTAATAGCAGATTTACTTGAGGGGTTATTATTGTCTTCATTACTCGATTGAAGGTTACATGCAGCTAAGACAGCTGCTACAAACTGAAGAGTTTTCAAGTAGTGAATGGAGAAGGAGAAAATCCCCAGTAATGAAGTGTCAGGCAATAGTCTGCATTTGGATTTCTGGAGAATAATATTCTGGGTACAGTTTTAAAACATAAGTTCCTTGTTTCTCCACGTGGATACTTTGCTCAGCAGGTAAGGATCAGCAGTAAAGAAGGATGACCACCTGACAGTGGGTAAGCAGTCTATAATATCAGAGATGCACTCAAGGACCATGTAAGACGGTGGTTAAAGATTATATAGTATCTAATTGGATAAACAGTGCCTGTGAGCCCAGCCTGAGGACTGCATATTGTTGAAGCAGTGCTGAATCAATTTACCAACACTTGGATTTGTGTACATAGTGGAAAATTACATTTCCTCTCTCTTTCATTTTTCAACCAAAGAAAGTGTTTTGGGACCTGGATACCCCATCTCCTGAGATACTGCAGCTAGACCACCACAGCTAGTGGTGAGAGATGAAAACAGTCTGCAGGGAGAACTGAAATTAAAGATGAAGTTCACCTTGTTTATGCTGTGAGTCACTCTTCATGGCTGTGTTCACAGTATTATGACAGCTGCACTGTTTCTGCAATTTTCTTTTTTTTCCCAACTGGAGAAAAGTAAAAAGAAACTTCAGTATTTGCATCCATGGAAAAAAAAAAGAAAAAAAAAAAAGGAAGAAGAAGAAGAAAATGATGGCAGAAATGTTCTAAATTTTCTTTGGGCTAAATAAGCAATTCTTAAACAATTAACTTCCTAAAGCAATTCTAAATTCTGCTGAGTTGCAAAGTGTCTTCACTTTGCAGGTTCAGCTTTTTTTTAATAAACTTGCTATTAGTCTGTTCTGTGTAGATGATCACCTGTCTGTTCTGTGTAGGTACAAAGCAATATTCCTGGGCATCTTTGTAGATCCATTCTGAGCATCTCTGATTTATCCCCATTTATCTATATCAGGAATGTTAACAAGCATGTTGTGTAGGTAGACTTCATCAGTGACAGATTGGCTTGGTTTGTTTAATCACTTCTGAATACGTAAGTGTAATTAATTGTACTCACAAAGACACTTTGATTGCACATGCAAAATCAAATGCTGAGTTCTGTTCTGCCTGCAGATCTCATCTATAATTCATTTTTCCTCAGTGTTTCACCCATTCACGATTCTTCTAGTGAATTTACCAATCACATGTTAAGCTACACAGTATGACAGAGTGTTTGTGTACAGAGCTGTCATCCTCTTCGTGTCTTGACTGAGCATACATTAAAACTCTTGTATTCCAAAGGAAATATCCAGCCAGCAGGTCATGCAGTTGACCTTCTCAAGCCAAGAAATAAGGTGTCCACTGCACTGCTGAGAGTAGTGAAACTACTGCTAGAGATCTTCTGAGAGCAGAGGTGTTTGCTTCTGTGTTACTTGTTTCAGTTCATTAGTGATGGAAAAAATGAGTATGGGCTCAAATTTCAGACTTTCATGCGGAAGCATATGGATTCACATTTATTTTATAGTTTGTTTATTATTGATTCAAATCCCAGGTTGCAATCCAAACAATAAGTTTCCTAAACCAAACGAAAGGCCAGAGAACAGCCATTTCTTCTGCTCTGAGAGGATCCTGGAAGCCCGGCTGACTGTTTCTGATTCTCTTCCTGCTAAAGAAGAGATCAGAGTGGATAGGAGGCTGTCTATGCTTGCAGCTCCTCCTGGAAGCACAGGAACAATATTCCTGACCTTTCAGGACTCTTCCTAGTCTAACCTCTCTTCCAACCCTTTCTAATCATAGAATCATAGAATGGCTTGGGTTGGAAGGGGCCTCAAGGACCACCAACATCCGTATCTAATTCTAAAACAGGTTAAATCCTCATTGTACCTGTCAGCATGGGCCATGATTGAAACCTTATTCTGCACTAAGCAAGAGGTTTGAAGTGCTAGAATTCAGCTGTTCCATAACACCTCTAAATGTGAGAATTCATGCTGAGATCAGTCATAGACATAAAATATATCTTTTTCCTCATCAGGATAGACAAAAGAAATTTTCTTCTGCACCTGTACAGCCTACAAAGCTGGGTATTTATATTTAAGATCTTTACCCACTCTAACCTCAGACTGAATATCTCTCCAGAATGCTCTGCTTTTTGATTTTTCCTTTGACAGATGTGTCTTATATTTCTCTAAGAAAAGAAAAGGAAAGTGAAGCAAACGAAATACTCGTAAAAACAAAATTCACCAACTCCTGAACAGAAGTTGTCTCATTCACTGAAGAGAGACAGGTGGTTCTGCTAGCCTCTGCTGACCTTATCCTGACATGATATTGTAATTTTTTTTTTGAGAAGGCCACCTCCAGTCTCAAGATGGCACCTCTATCAGAAAGCTTATTGGCTTTTTAGAAGCTTGGCTTCCCCGCTGAAACTGCAAACAGTGAACATTTATTGCCAACTGAGATGGTGGCAAAGGTACTGTGCACACCTGCCTGCAATAGGAACTGGACTGAGGTCACCAACTCATTTCACATAGAATAGTAAATGACCATGGGTAGTAATTCTTGATTGTGAACTACATTTGCCCAAGTACAGGCTGGCATTCCACACGGGAAGTGGTTGGAATTGCATTAGCAATTTCCTGAGCCACCTGTTCTCAATAGTTTAATGCTAGCAGAGCGTAGAAATTGAGATAATTTAAATAAGTTGTCTCCTTTGGAGAATCATATGAAAATTGGAATACTATACATTGTACAAAGGAAAGAGACAAGTAAACCCTTAGAGTAAGGGATCACAGTATTTTTAGTTGTGCTATTAAAAAGCTAGTAACAAATTAATTTCTATGCAGACATTGAGCATACTAGCATGCTGCTAAAATCTCGCTTCAGTTTAGTCATCTCTTCTCCCAGTCCAAGTCCTGCTTGAGTGAGACAGTGCATGGGGCTGGCAGGATCCAAGCAGGCACTCAACCGAGAGCTATCTAATACAAGTGACCCAGTTCAGTGCACAGAAGAATCACTCTCTGCAAACTGTGTCATCTCATGATATTTTCTACACTACGGTTTCTTAAACTGCCTCTTGCAAGTTGTATCCATATAAACATAAGTAGTTCTCAGTTGGAGTTGAGAACCCAATCCCTTTCAAAACTGCTCCTATTTGTTAAAGATTCCAAAATACAAGTTTATGACCCAACTGTTGGAATACTGGAGTTTGAGTTTTCAAACTGGCTTAATAATGCATAGCTTATTCAGTGTTTTTTTGTTTGTTTGTTTTGTTTTGAAGAGTTAATTCCTTAATTTGTATTAGTTACAATGTGAGACTCAGAAGAAACATATTATTGAAGCAGCAAAATATAATTGGTATTGATTAGATTTTTAAAAAATATTTTCTAGAGTTGTTGTTGTTGGAGTCATCGTGGCAGTAGGCTTTTCTGCCTTATAGCTGTTTGGTCCCAGGGTTGGCTATGATCTACCTTTGGGCCTAAGAAGCCACTGATTCTCTTCCCCATTTCCACCTTCTTTATCACTGACCCAAGAGACACGTGACAAGCAATGTGACAGGAGCAAGGATCACACAGGCTTCTTTTGTCACATGCTTTGGCTTTAAATGAAGACATCTTCTTACTCTAATTCTGATGCAGTGCTGGTGTCCTGAACAGCTCATGACTTTAAAAAAAAAAAAAAAACTGATCCAAAGACAGTGAAGTGAAGGAAATATTTCAGAGGGTTTTGACCAGACAGGAGGGAAGTACTATAGTGTCATCACTGGAAACTAAGGACAATTCATGGGGCACTCATTAATTTTTGGGTAGGATTTCATAAACCTAATATTACCTCACTGAAGTTAGTAATAAGTTTCCTATTTGTTTTTTGGGAATAAGCCTAAAGATAAGCTTTTTTTCTTTGCTTTTTTTTTTTTCTTCTTCTAATTCTGCTTATCTCTAGCGATCAACAGAGAGGCTAATGGAAAATCCATCTGAAAGAATGACTTTTCCTCTCATTTCTAGACATAGTGGGACATATTATCTGCTGTATATGTCTTGTGTAGTGATCTGCTTCAGCAGATATAGGGCTTACTGTTTAAGTACTCTCAATCTAGCACTTTTTACCATTATTAAGCTTCCTTTTTAAAATACAGGTATTAAAACCTACTTGAAGCCACAGGAGAGTCTTTAAATGGAGATAGATTGGCATTTCTAGAAAAAAAATAGGAGAGTATAGATGTATCTGAAAGACAGAAAGAAATGGCAGAGCAGATGTAAAGAACACAAAGCAAACATCATGGATCATAGCTAAGCAACATTAAATTCTTGTTGCTCTGCCCTCTCTTTTAAGTCCATATTCCCAATAGTGGTCTTCCATCAAGCAATCAGATGCCTACTCTGTTTCACTTTCTGGCAGAATCCATTACTGCTTATGTTTGTCTACTCAACTTGAGATTTGAAAAATAAGTTTCATTTCAGAGAATAGACATGAATATCAAATGCAATGAAACATTGAAATCTAAATTTTCAAATATAGTGTCCACTCCCATGGGTGAAATTGCTCATAATTAACTGTGTACAGAATTGTGAGTATCATTACTTACACTTACAATTAGTGTCATTTAGTTGTGATTATACCTATAATCTTATGGACAGATTGAGACCTGGCTGAAAATTAGAGCCATTGTCTCACTCTCCAAATGTCAGATTATTGTCAAACAGTTCATCTTTGTATCGAGTTGACCGCTGTTCACACAGATATTTATGGATAAGTGTTGGAGAATATCAAGTGGTAAAGAATGTTAGAAGGTATATATTGTACATAAACCACGTGTGAGTTTTATTTCCATTATGAAACAAATGTTGAGAATGAAAGGATTAAAAAAGGTAATTATGTTCTCCTAAGCATTAGCAAAAATGTGGTCACTCCAACTGTATTACAAATGTATGTAGCAAGGATACTCCTTTCACATGTCTGTTCTGAAAGAATAGGGAAGGCTGGGTGTACTACATAGGATATGGATACTTTCTAATGGAAATCAATCTAACTCATTGTTTTTCAATCTCTTCCTCTCCCTCCACCCACATCCTGTTCCTACCTCCCTCTTGCTAGGGAATTTTCCAAGGAAAGAGAGAAGGCTAAGGCTCGGGGAGATTTCCAAAAGTTACGTGAAAAGCAACAGCTAGAGGAGGATTTGAAGGGCTATTTAGACTGGATAACTCAAGCAGAAGATATTGACCCAGAAAATGAAGATGAAGGCATGGATGAGGAGAAGCCTCGAAACAGTAAGCAATTTTCTTCTGTCCGTCTTTCTCTGCTTTTAGCAAGGGAACCTGTGCCCACCTGCTCCAGTGCTGAGATTGCCTATAGGGCAGAGCGAGTTCTTCCTGAGGCTCTCACTATGTTTATATGTGATCCAAGTGAAATACACGTTGGGATATGCAGGAGGGAGAAATATGTGTAAAATAATTGATACTGTTCTGCAGATCCTCAGATTCTTGTCTGTAGTGCTGACATTAGAACCTAGTACTAAACAGAAAAAAGATCAATACTTGCTGTTATAACTTTGCTACTGGGATAAGGTTTAAAATATACGTCTCCTATTCATTTATTTAATTGCAGTTCAGTGTTGCAGGCTGTTGACACATGGTTAATTATTTTGAAAGCAAAGGTTTCTAGGCAAAGCAATGTTACAGTATGGGAGAAGGGCCAGATCAACCCTGTTGTACATTAAATTGGCCATCTGTGGCTCCATTGAAATCAGTGGAATTGCATTTGCTTTTGCCAGGCTGGAATTAAGCTTTCTGACATTTCTTGCAAGGGAATTACCTCTTTTTCTTCTGTTTTGGAGCTGAGAATATGTTTGTACAAAATGAGAATTCATTTATTCTCTCTTCTTACTAGAATGATGAGTTTGAAGAAAGCAAAGATTCCTTACATTTAACTACCTTCACTCTGTCTTCTAACTCCACCTTGTCTTTTACCAGTATTTGGATCACTTCAGAAACATCTAGCAGTTGTCATCGTAGGTCACGTACCTGGGAAATGTCAGAGTTTGAACCTTTAGGCAGTTACACAGCTAAGGGAGATGGCGCTACATTTAGCTTTCCTTATTTAAATCTGCATTATCCCAGCTTGAGTTTGGAGGAGAAGACATGAAGCCTTTCCCTATAGCTCCCTTACTCCCAAGTAAGTAAAATCCATGGGGTGATCAGATCAAAACCATATATGACCAGGAGGATTGGACACTGGAAAGTTAAACCTACACACACACAAAAAAAAAAAAGCAAGAGTTGTATCAGATTCTTATCACCTTTGAGGAGACTGAGCACTACTCCCTGTAGTTGTCAGAACATTTTCAGAAAAAGACAAAAAAAAAAAGGAAAAAAAAAAAAAAAAAGAAACTTGTGGGGGTTATTAATATCAAGTCATACTCTTGACAGCTGTGTCTGGATTTGAGGGAGTCTCTAGGAACACCTGCTCAGACTTCCCCAGGATACGTTACTTTTATGTTGGTGTCTTCATAGGAATTACAGCTTACTTTCATCATTTAACCTGAGTAATCAGTAATTATGTTACTACTCATGGCCAAAATTTGCTCTTCTGGGGAATATAATGTATGGAAGATCATGTCAGGTGATCCCATTTCATTTCTTTGTAGACAGAGTTCAATATTAAGAAAATAACACTACTGTAATGGATAGTGCTTGATATCCTCAATATGGCATTGGAGTGGGGAAGTTGGTTGTCACAAGGTGGGCAGTGAAGTCACCAGGAGGCTTTCCCTTTACTTCAATGGGAAATTCCTCCTACAGGCATGCCTGGTAAAGAAAATTGTAGCCAGAGTGGTAGGTACTGTTATGAGAACCTGCCAGGGCTACTTTCTAATTTGAACTTTTTCCTTTTTAATGAACATAAAAATAATTATGCTTTGGTAAAAGTTTTTTGGGATAGGACAGATGTGGTGACGTCAGTCCAAATTTGAGCTAACAAACTCCTTTTCTGTGTAGTGATATTGAAAACTGGAAGATTACATATCTCCAGCTTGCTTTCAGTTCTTGTTCGGATTAATAAGGTGAGTTTTGTAAAAAAGGTCTTAAAAAATCAGTGATATTACATCTGACAGGTTCTCAAGAGTTTCTCACAGTTGGCTGTTAATGATAGAATTGCGCACTATTAGCAAACTAACTTGTTATCCATTTTTTTTCCAAACTTTTTATGCAGTGTCTTCAATGCCATTGGTTCTAAGTATCAAGTGTAAGGACAGCAGTGTTAACCAATCCCTACTACACAGTGTATCTTTCTCTTTGCCTCAGTCAGCTTTTACGACATGACTGACCAAACTTGGAAACAGGTGTCTGCAGTGTCTGGTGGTATATGATAGCATTACACCTTTGTTGATAGGAATTGCTTAGAACGTGAAGGAAAGCTCTGGACTGCTCTTGGCCATGTATGAGGGAAAAGTCATGTTAAGAAGTCTCTGAACAAGAGAATAGCAGAAGCTATTCTAATGCTCAGACTGAGCATTAAGAAATGTTGCTTTTCTATGAGGGTGATCAGATGCTGAAACAGGCTTCCTTGAAAGGTGGTTGATACCTCATGTCTTTTATGTTCAAGAGCCATTTGGACAATGCCCTCAATAACATGCCTTAACTTTTGTTTGGCCTTGAAGCAGTCAGGCAGTTGGACTCAATGATCTTTGAAGTCCTCTTCCAACTTTGCTAGTCTATACTATTCTATACAGTTCAGTGCTGTACCTTGATTTCCTTCCTGACAAAGTCTTTCTTAACTTTGGAAGTAATGGGTCTTTATGTTGCCTTCCTCTGATGTAGAAGCCAATAGCCACTGAATAAGGAAGGTAAAGAGCAACGTTGGGTTTCCCATCTCCAGCCCCAGCCCTCAAGCCAATAAAGATACCTTGGTGCTTCCCCCCATCTAGCAGAGTTGAGGAGTTTGTATTTTGGTCATTCGTATTTCATAAATCACATTCATTTTTTCTTTTCTAGTAGGCTGTTGTATATACTTTTGTATGATTACAGGTATCACACAGTTTAAGCTCTACTGTATTTCCTGATATTTCTGAATTTCAATCTTTATTCACATGACAAGTGCTACCCCATTTTCAAAGCCAAATAGATTACAGACATCCTCTCCTAAGGTATCATATTCATTTCATTTATTGACATGCTTGACTGTCATGCCTCACCCACCACACAGGAGGAAGAAACTCCAGGTATACTTACTGTACCTACCTATGTGGCCCCATTCAATGTGGCCTTAAACACCTCCAGAGATGGGGCACCTACAGCTTCTCTGGGCAGCTATGCCAGGGCCTCAGTGCTGTCTGAGTAAAAAATTGCCACCTAATAACTAACCTAAATCTCCCCTCCTTTAGTTTAAAACCCATTCCCCTTCTCTTATCACCAGTCTGTAATTTTTTTTGTAACCCTCATAAGACCACAATGAGTTATCCCAAAAACTGTCTTTCTCCAAGCTGAACAACCCTTCACTTTAGTTGCCTTTGCTTTGGTTATATTAGGCTGATGCTTAGGAGATTTAGGTTTCAGATAATGACTCACACCATTATTTTAAAGAAGTCATGCTAGTTTTTACTTCTTCAATTTCCCCATGGAAGTTGTATGCAGTTTTGGGTAGTATTGTTCTTTTTTTTTTTTTTAGTAAAAATATTAAAGTAGAATCTCAGCTAATGTAAAGCTGCAACTCTAAAATTCAGCAGTTTCCACCATCTGTGCTCTTGCCCAGGTACTATACCTAAACTGAATCATCCCAAGTACAGAGAACATATGTTTCCAGTCTCTTCTCTGTCCTTGGATGTGGAGAGCAGTTTTTCTGTCGTCTTACCCTGAAAAGAGAACTGCCAGCCTGGGAACTGCCTCTTGTAGAACAGAGAACAGGAAGAAGAAGGGAAGAGAGCTGCACTTGCATCCCCTTTGGTTTGACTGCCCTTGTCAGTCTTTTGGGCATCATAAGTCACATTTTGTATATTCCATTGCTTTCCTGAAGATGTTGAAACTTGTCCTAAGTCTCACTGGGTGTTTACAGTCCTTAATGAAATGGTTAAGTCCAAGCACTACAGCAAGAAGGGCCCCAGGAGAAGAGACGGTGAGAAAAGAAGGTGGACAGCCTTTAGCTGATATTCTCTGTGGCAGAGGTCTAAGCATTCTTCTGAGGCAGTTATATACCAGTCATCTCATATTCACAGAAGAGCGTTCACAGAGCGGTTTGAATTCATCTTGTATGTTTTGGGAAGTGTATGTTGAAGGCAGTTCTTTTTACTTGTTGTTTGAATACATGCTTTTTCTATCTTGGAAAGTATGAGGTGGGAAATGTGAAAAGGCTTCTAGGGGCTATTTGTGTCAATAGTTTTCTCCTATGCTCTTTTCCTCATGGGCCTCCTGCAAGGGAAAAAAACATAAATTTGACAGAGGAGAGAAACACATGTCATGGCACAAAGCACATACTGAATTTCAAAATTACATGATAGTGAAGAGAATCATCCCTCCTGTTGCCACAGCAACTGGGAATTTGCCCTTTTTTATTCTTCCTGAGAAGAAGAACTGCTGTGCATCTGTGTTGCTGTGGGCAGGAACAGGAAATCTCAGTCCAACCCAGATTCTCCTCCTATTAAAGTTAATTGGCAAAATTCACGCTGTCTGCACTAGGGTCAGTAAAAAGCTGTGAATGGGCATGGAGAAGTAATCTGATGTTTCTGACTGCTCAGATTTTGCCCTCCCTCTGTTTGACTGTATTTCAGTCCTATTTGGTGCTGCTACCTACCATGTGAGCACAACCACATTAATATCTATAGGAGTAACAGAGCTTACTGTTTGGCCTGGAGTTTGGTAACAAAGCCGTCGATTCAGGAATACTCATTGTTCTATTTAAGTCATATCCATGATAGTACTGTAAATTCAAGGGCTGATTTGCAAAGTCTAATCATACTCCAGGGCTCTATTGCAATGGGACTGATTACTGTAAATAATCAGATTTTCATGTAACACAGCAGTAAAAATACTGCAAGTCAGCGTGTTGCCTATCAAAACATATAGCAAAACTTCAGAGTGTACACTGAATCATGAAAGATGCAGGGGAGAAAGGCTTGACTGTACATGCAAATTTATGCCTTAGCTCAAGTAGAAATATAAAATGCACAATGGAAGATGATAAAGTAGAGAAATACAGGAAAATTCTAAAATTCTTAAAAATCTAAGCTGTTAAAAAGAATACATTTTTTTAACAATAAGTCTCAGTTTTTACTTTCAGA